GCAGCAGCAGCAGCGAGAATAGCAGCAGCAGCAGCAGCAGCAGCAAGAATACGTGTAGCAGCAGCCCTGCAGTGCTGCAGCAATAGCAGCAGCATGTAGAACTCCAGCAGGACAGCAGCAGCAACAACTGCAGCAGCAGCAGCAGGCAACGCTGCAGCAGCAGCAGCAAATAGTGCAGCAGCAGCAGCTGCTGCTGCAGCAGCAAGCGCAGCTGCAGCAGCAGCAGCAAACAGTGCTGCAGCATTTCTAGGGATGGGGGTATGGCGTTACTTCGATGCCTAAACCCTAATCTAAACCCTAAACCCTAAACCCTAATCTAAACCCTAAACCCTAAACCCTCGTCACTGCAGCACGAGGCTGCGGCTGCCACCGTTGCAGCAGTATTAGCTGCTGCTGCAGCTGCTGTCTCTTCTCCTGCAGCAGCAGCANTGCGGCTGCCACCGTTGCAGCAGTATTAGCTGCTGCTGCAGCTGCTGTCTCTTCTCCTGCAGCAGCAGCAGCAGCAGCAGCTGCTGCTGCTGCTCCTAAACCCTAAACCCTAATTAGAATTGAGGCAGCGCAAACCCTAAACCCTAAACCCTAATTAAAACACCACGGGTAACTATAAAATTCTAGGGTTTAGGGTTTAGGGTTTAGGGTTTTGCTAGGAGTACGCAGCCAGCGTTTAGAGTTGTTTAGGGTTTAGGGTTTAGGGTTTAGGGTTTATATGCGGCTTGGGGGCCCTGAAGCAAAAGGCTCTTCTTGAGGCATCTCTGAGTAGCCCTTGAAGCTTAGGGTTTAGGGTTTAGGGTTTAGGGTTTAGGGTTTAGGGTTAGGGTTACACTGCTGCTTGTATGGAGCGGAGGGTTTACAAAAGTACAAAATTAGGGTTTAGGGTTTAGGGTTTGGGGTTTTGGTGCTCTGAAGATGAGGCCAAGAATAGAGGTTAGGGTTTAGGGTTTAGGGTTTAGGGTTTAGGGTTTATCCTAATATGGTGAAGGGCTCGTGACTAGGGTTCGACTAACACAGTTTAGGGTTTAGGGTTTAGGGTTTAGGGTTTAGGGTTTAGGGTTTAGCGTTGTTGAGAGACAGGAA